GCAGATTATTCTACTCAACAAATTATCGGGTGCCGAAACTTCGAAGATCTTCACCGAATCGGCATAGAATGTTCCTCTTTAATCGATGCTGCGCCCCGCGACATTGCCCTCTACTTATCGTCTCCAAATTTGGGTTTGCCTTCGTCGATCGAGCAGGAATCTGCATCAATATTCTTGATCGAACCACATCAATCTCCGTCGATCGATCAAGACCTGATTGACTTGGATGGGACATAAAGCATGTTACATTTTAATAAACACAAAATGAACTACTGATATATTCGCAAATTAGATGAAGTGGAAATAAAAAAGTAAGTAAATCCTCATGCATTACATTATATTGTATACTCTTTTCGTTGCGTATTACTCAGTGGATGTTCACCTCCTCAAAGCTCCGCGTATTCAGGGTAGTACTCCTGAGAATCATACTTGACGAACACGGTCGGGTTTTGTAGCTGGTCAACTTTGGTGTCAGCCGGGCGGGAAAATCTGAAAATAACAAATCTCAACAGATTAGACCAAAATGACCCGGTCATTACTTTAGAACTTGCTCAATGAATTCTTAAGGTACCATTGTCTGCGAGACTGAGTAATGTTTTCTGAACACTTTTTATTATATCATTTTTTTATTGATTTCACTGTCATGTTAGAAACACTTTAAGGCAGAAATGAATTTGCTTTGATTGAGTTGCTCCTAACGTTTCGAATAATTTTTATCGCTATGCATGTACATCAGATGAGTACCTTGGATTCTATCATACCAGAACAGCTAACATCGAACGGAACCCCACAGCTGCCAAAAACCCTACAAATGTCATTGCAAATAAGCGTTTATCAATAAACTGAAGAAGAGTACCCATATTTCGCAGATTGTTCAGCGTAGAAGACGTCTGTCGTGGTGAGACCTGCAAGGACTCTGCATATGAAGATTGTTTTTTCCGTAACTGTTTGCAGTCTGTGCGCTGTAGAGATAGCAAAAAGTTGCAAACAAGCATAAGAGCTTAGCTCACAGTTAATATAATACATTACGAGATAGTGTAGCATTGAATGCTAATAGGCTCGTGAAAGAATGTTGCACATATACTACACGTATGCGGAAACAATTGATGCTATTAGGTTTCGATTCATGATATAGTAAATTACGGAGTGAGTTTAATAGCGATGGTTCAGTCAACTCACTCTTGGTAAGGAAATTTCAAGGGCGACATGGCTTATAGATCGATCATTTCAAAGTGGAAGGAATACCCATAGGGATTCTTTTTAATCCTTAGCCTTAATTATACTGTTCGGAGGCGATGAACGTAGCCGCAATCTATACGAATTTTCGTTCAGTCTCGAGTAAGGGTGAGGTCTATTTGGAAATTTGTAACATCTAGCAGAAGGCACTAACAATGGACCTCAAGAAACAAGGAAGTTATAACATGCATTGGTGATAATGATTAAGAAAATAAATTTCGAAAACAGCTGAAACTCTGACAATTTTTAAGTGAAGTTACATGACCGGAAACTATACGTACTTGTTGAAGAAGTAAGCTCCTCTTCCCATCATATGTACTGCGTCTTTGCAGTAGATTTCCAGTCAATATTTTTTAAAATATGAATTCGACGTTGGCAGAGTTAGTACCGTGAAAGAGGCACGCTTCCATGTAGTTGACATAATGGTACAGACTCTGTAGTTTAGCCTTGTGGTTTTCATACGATGCTCCTAGATGCGGGTTGTTGATTTTATATGTTTTATTAGGGTTACAGTTTGGCATGTAGGACCTCAACAGTGCTCGAACTTGGAGGTTTTCTGGATAGTTTTTCCAAGTAAATCGGCATTATACGTTTGTCTAAAGGCCATTTGAGGGACCATCCTTGTTGGTACAGTGTTGGAAGAAGTTGAACAAGCATTAGCACCATTCATGGATCTGCACAGCTTCCGCCTACACACCTCTCGCACTTTGCCACTAGTGGTGTTAGTTTGGATCATGTTGGCGAAATCCAAAACGTACGACTGGCTTCCTGCAGTGAAATGAAAGCTGCTAGTGGAGTAAGTCTGGTAATGCTTTTCGATTTCAATCCCGTTATTTGATTTCCCTTTGGAGCCAAGCACAGCACATGACCCATCGTCGGCTCTGTAGTACCATACATAGGTACCTTAATTGCAGGGGAACAACAGCATTTTCACCGGACCCACCAGAATTTTTAGCCATACGCCTCATGGGTCGTTGCACTTTCGTTCTCAAGTTGGTTTGCGTCATGGTTGTCAGGTTCAACTCGTAGGGATGATGCAGACTCTTGGTCATCATCACCTGATCACGATGCTTTCTAAAGTGTTTTTCGATGTCGTCGGATCGTACAGAAAGAGCAAGTTTCGCATAATTTCCGGTGCTAATTTCAGCATATTTTGTCCAATGGCAATTTTCATCCCAGAAAAACCATTCGTATTCATCCTCACTTCCTCCTTGCCCCGACGTAGTCAGGGAGTTCATAACGCAATTAATATTTTGCAAGCCACCAGTCATGTTGACCGAAGTTGTTCCATTGGAAGATCCTTGATGTTTATAAGCCATCATACCAACACTAGTGGACTGGATTTCTTTAGTATTCACTAACTTATTCCTAAATTGAAGCACTGAAAACATAAGATGAGGTTATCCAATGACGTTTAACAGCCTGCAAGTAAAACAAATTGACTGTATTAATCCTCGTATAAACTTTTCAAAAGTGAGAAATTCATTCCATGCATAAATCTTTGCGTTAAGTGCAAACAAGCAGTAATCACCATTATCACATCAATACCCACCATCGCAAAAAACATGCATCACACAATAACAACCATGCAAAGCACAGCTCCTTAGATCGCTTGCGCACAATGGACTCATGGTTGCCCACATCAAGTCAATAAACATACTACTAACAAACAGTTCAAAGGCGTACCAAAATACTCTAATTAGCAAATGTGCATTTCCGACCACACTCTTAAAGCAACATTTTAGGTTTCACTTCTAACGCTCATACGGAGGTTTTTGTTACACCCTAGTATGCATTATCAATGCAAATTTAGACTTGGGCTACAATGGGTCAGCAAACTTTCTTAATCATCGACAAATTGATAGGATATTTATATTTGTTAACCACCTTGGAGTGGTCTGCTTTTTTGTGTGGTCTCCACCCTTGGCGTTGTCTCCTCCCTGAAGTGGCCTCCTCCCTGGCGTGGTCTCCTCTCTGGATTGTTAAACTCCTTGGAGTGATCTGTTTTTTGGCGTTGTCTCCTCCCTGAAGTGGCCTCCTCCCTGGCGTGGTCTCTTCTCTGGATTGTTAAACTCCTTGGAGTGATCTGTTTTTTTTTTGCGTTGTTTCCTCCCTGGCGTGGTCTCCTACTTNAGTGCTGTCGAGGGGCTACATGGACCCGCTTCAAGTGCTCCATCGATTTTAAAATAAAAAAATCTTCTCTTAAAATTAATGATATTTAATTAACCAATCAACTCCTTACAATGATTCTGCGTTGTCAACCACAGAATGCAATTTGTAAATAAACTCATCCACAATAGTACAATAATTATATTGAATGGTGTTTAAAATTCACGATCAAATGTCACTCACTAGCTGCTTAGATCGAAACAGCGTAAATTCACAACTAACATCAGGATTCAGACGAAAAACTGAAATTCCACGATAATCTTGATCATATGGAAGTTCAGTTTTTAGTTCTCAATCATAATCATATAAATAAATGACGCAAATATAACTAACTTCGGATGCATATGAATTACCTTTAAGAATAAAACCAATCTTTGAATTCATCACGACCTTGTGGTTTGCTGGATATGAATTTTGGAAACATGGAGAATCATGTCGGTTAGTAGGAGCTTTCGTTATCTCACTACCAGCAGATTAGCCTGGCGTTGCACGGCTTGATAATTTCTGCAATTTATGAATCGCAACCCCGTAATTCATATAATCCATAATATCGTTGGTAATCATTAGGCTAATGTATTCTAATTAATAAGGACCTCTTCAGACACACATTTTGCATGGAAGATAGGAGTCCCATTTTAATCTCGTTTCATAACATTGAAAAAACTATGTCATGTCTTTTAAATGAATCAAATAGCAATTTTTGTTCCAATTCTTTCCTCCGTTTCCTCCAATCTTTTCCTATTCATTCACCAGAAATAAGTTTTTTAAGGTAATATCCCGACAGGATAAGTTTCCTGGACACGCGCACCAACTGCCTTTATATATTTGCGGTGCCAGGATTGAAATTCACACACAACCCAACATGCAAACTTTGATCAATATCTATATAATATATATCAATAATAAACGAAATAATATGTAGTAATAACATAACAGTGTTACTATCGTTGGAGTATTATCTTTGTGTCACTTCTTCACTATAATTCCTTGTCAATACTATTTCATTTCACCCGTAACCTCACAAATTTAGCGTTCACATTAATATTAACTTACGCCAACAATTTTTTTTAAATTCCTTTCGCAACATCGGAGCTGCAAATTGAAGCAAATCAATATAGATTATTAATCTTGTAAATAATCAGTAAATTACGTATATTCATCTCATATTATTCTTTGCACATGATTTTCAATAAAATATTACAATGATTTATGATCATAAACTTCGGAAAGTTATATACTCGTAAAGCATATTCAGGGCAACTAAATTCAAAAAGAGTGTTTGATTAAAATAATATGTAGTAATAACATAAAAGTGTTACTATCGTTGGAGTATTATCTTTGTGGCACTTCTTCACTATAATTACTTGTCAATACTATTTCATTTCACCCGTATCCTTTCAAATTTGGTGTTCACATTAATTTTAACTGACGCCAACAATTTTTTTTAAATTCCTTTCGCGACATCGGAGCAGCAAATCGAAGCAAATCAATATAGATTATTAATCTTGTAAATAATCAGTATCTTGTAATCAATAATATTTTATTTTCAATAAAATATTACAATGATTTATGATCGTGAACTTCCAAAAGGTTATATACTCGTAGATCATATTACGGGCAACTAAATTAAAAAAGAGTGTTTGATTCTTTAGCTCCTGCCTTCACATGATTATTATATTTAGACGGCATATTATGAGACCAGAATAGACTAACGATAGATTTGGCGAACTTATAAGTTTGTGCAATCTCCGAAAATAATCACTTATTTACAGAGAGGATAACGCGTTATCAATGACCAGGGAAAGAGAAAAATCACTAACTCCGATGAACCATGCTGCTATATGAAATAAGCGATAAGTACTACTCAAGATTTCATCGTGCACCAATCTGTCTTCAATAATATCTACATATTTCCTGAATTAATTTAAGAAAAAATTTAACTGATATAGGCTTGAAGGATGACCGTGGGTTCATATCTGGGCTGAGCATCCAGCGGACCCGACCCTTGGTCCGCTGGATCAGGAGGCGGGACGTAGTCGGCGTGAACTGAGTTCGTGACTGCCGCGTTTTGTGTTGTTCTCTGAAATTCAAGCATAGACATGTTAGGTACGGATAGATGTATAACATGTAAAGTTTTACAAATTTTTAATGAACACAAATTCCTTACGCATAAATTCTATAATTGCAGTCATGGAAGTCAAGGAACATATACATAGTACCTAGCGATGGCAGCCAGCTAGCGGATAGGAAGAACCGTACTCATGTATGCGATTTTTGGCGAGGCTCATAACCCAAAAGGTATTGAAGTAAAAAGTGCTTTGTGATGTTTTTTGATGCGAATTTGAATACATCTCAGCTTCGCTAAAGGTATAAAGTCCTGCCCAAATAAAAATAGACCTTGAGTTTCTCGATTCATGACGGGGCGTTCCTTCACAATTTACACTTCTAACGACCTGATGCAGACAAACAAGTCGTCCTCTATTCTAAAACTCAATACTTTATTCTATGGGGACAGGATACACAAAATTTACAAATTCTTTGATTCGTCCTGAGAAGAGGGCAGAAGTTCAGCGTATAAGTTTAGAAAATTCTTCAATAAAACAACTGGAAAATAAAAAAGTCAAAACCTACTATCGTACTGCGTTTCAACTATCAAATGATCTTCCACAACAATCTTACTTTGCAAGAATGTATTGTAAAAATACTTTATACATCCAAGTTCTGCGACTAAATTAATAAATTTCTGTATAGTGATGTAGTAATCCAGTTATTTACCTCAAAAGAGTGCGTAGTACTCCGGGTAGTAGTGTTGCTCATCATACTTGACGAATATAGTGGGTTTGGCCGGATTGTCAACCGTGGTGTCAGCACGACGGTTGGATCTGTAAAAATCAGAGTCTTGTTTTATGCAAACATCGGTCACGTATTCCTGCACACCATCACCACACACATTGTTTGTGGTACTATGGGTACACATCAGTAATGCATCTTCACATCTTTACCACACTCATTATTTGTGGTGCTATGAGTACATATCAGTAGAGTATCATGCACACCATCACCAAACGCATGATTTGTGGAAATATAAGTACACATCAGTAGAGTATCTTCACATCTTCACACACACATGATACTGAATTTAACGCTAAGATCTTCAATATAAGTTCTTGTTCGCCGCTACGTAGGAGGACGAACTTGTCTTTCGGAGGTCTGATAGTTTCTTTGTCGCCACGCGCGGTGAGGCCCACCAGCACCTTGCAGATGAAGATGGTATTACCGTACTTGCGAGACTCTGCAGCGCTGTTGCGATAGAATTAATTTCTAATTAAGTCTTGAAAACTCATTTGCAAATTGACACATCAATCATTTCATATTAATAGTCATTTAAAAGTAGAATTACACAACATTGTAATTCCGAAATTACCGAAACATTGTAAATAGTATGACCAAATCAAACAGAGGTTATTCTTCATATCATCATCTGTAAGAATATTTTATCGAGTACCAGGCGCGATCATTCGAAACTGGGAGGAGTTCACAGATGTCTTCTTATAAACCGAAGATAAAAGCTCTATGTTATTTGAAGGTGCTATGATCTATACGCCCAGACTCGAGTTAGAGCAGTGAAGTGGTTTTGAAAAATAATGACATCATGGTACGGGAACTATCTCTGAACCTCAAGAAAGGTGGTATTGATGACATGCATCTTATACAAAGAATGTAATTTCAATTATAAATGTTTTGAATACTAAAAATTCTATTGTGAATTGACATAAATCCATATGACAGAAATCAACATACTTGTTGGAGAAGTAGGCGCCCTGTCCATAAAGTTGTCCAACATTAGTTCCATGAAGTCTCCAATCAAAATTATCTTCGAGAATTGGTTTGACGTTGGCGGAGTCTGTCCCGTGGAAGAGCCACTCATCCTTGTACTTGACATCCGGGAATCGATTCACTAGTTTAGCCTTGTTGTTATAAAATGCTCTTTTTAGGTAAGGGTTGAGGATTTTATGGATGGCGATGGGGTTGCAGTTTGGAATGTAGGACCTCAGCAAAGATAGAATATTGTCGTACTCAGCTTGGTTTGGTCTAAGGGTAGTCACAGAATACGTCTGCCCTTTGGGGATATCGTTGATTTTTTCATCGCCGCTCTCTTCGCTATCGTCGCTATCGTCGGTTTCATAGCTTTCATCGCTACTATCGCTATCGTCGCTACTATCGCTATCCAGAAGCAACGAGCCCAGGGCGCTCAAAACTAAACCAGCTACATGCTTGAACTTGACCGTATTCTGCGCCATAATTCTCAACCCTGATGAACCAGGTTTGAGGATCCACAGAGTTTTTTTATTTTTTTCAAGAACCTAGTTGAAAAAGTGCAGCTAACCCGATGATGTCTGATGGTCTGAAAGTAAAAAAATTAACCATGTTGATTCGTGTTTAGACCAACACAAGTTACTTCTTAGTCGATAAGTAGCCATTCGATCAAGACAAAACAGACCATTTAAATTCATGAAGTTTATGGGAGGCTAAATATTGCATTTGATCAAATATTAACGTTTAAGTAAAGGGAGGAGAGTTTAGAATGAGAAAAAATATAGCTCAGTACTCACTGCAGTGAGTGACAGAGAGCGCATTTCTCGTCGACGAAAACATGAAGTCACGGACGGACAGACAGACAGACAGACGGACATGGCGACACAATGGTGCATTTTTTCCATAAATGAGGAAATGCGCTAAAAATAATCTTATAATGGACTTAGAATTGAGGTAATATATGCATTATTATATATTATAAAGGTATTTAACCCACACAAGATAACCGATGCATAGCATTTGGAGTCGATGTACAGGAATTAATTTCTCATAGAGCAGGACCTAAAAAACCTTCACAAACCTATTCCAATAATAATGAAATCGATGTAAATATATGTAAAAAATCATGCAATATGCGAGACTTTGTACTTGCATTTAGTAGTTCAACCTAAGAACTACTTCAAAAATTCTGTGATCCTTTACCGTCTTACTTAACTTTAGTGAGATTACAATGGAATAAATTAGTTAGATTCTTATCGAAATTTGATGTTAGAAATGTGATTGTATAACATGCTTGCATTTAAATTAAAGTTCTGTTCATTGTTTTATGAAGATTTAATCTAAGAGTTATTGAATCGACTTGCAATGCAGAGGATTTGCTTACAATTCAATGCTGAATATATCAAGAGCGCTACCCAGTTAAAATTTAGGGCAGGGTATTGTACAGGCCGCCGTCGGCTATAAGGCCGACGTAAAGACGCGATAGAGCAGAAATGCCCGCATTAGGGACGATATCACCAGCCGCGGAGCAGCGCAAGCCCCTTTGAGCACCTGCCCTGGCGGTTCTCAGAGGGGCGCATATAAAAAAGGAGCAAACTGGCCTTAGTTGGACGGAGATTTTAAGTTGCCGTATATGCCCAGCAGGCATCTGACGTTGAAACGACGTTGCTTATTGGTTGATTTCAGGATGAAATATTGAACAACCAAAATTAAACGTCATTACAACGTCGAAATCTGACCAATACTAGAAAGGACGTAAAACAAACTTATTGTAACATTGAAATAACGTCGATATTGGTACGTTGAGTTTTTACTAATTTTTAAACGTCGAATCAATGTTGATTTCAGGTTGAATTGCTGAACAACCCAAACTAAACGTCCAATCAACATCGAAATCTGACAAAACTAGAACGGATGTAAAGCAATCTTATTTCAACGTTGAAATAACGTCGATATTGGTATATGTAGAATGTTTACTAATTTTTAAACGTTGAATTAATGTTGATTTCAGTTTGAAATGCAGAACAACCAAAATTAAACATCCGACCAACGTCGAAATCTGACCAAAACTAGAACGGACGTAAAACACTTTATTTCAACGTTGAAACAACGTTGATATTGGAACGTTGAATGTTTATATATTTTCAAACGTGCAATCAATGTTAATTTCAGGTTGAAAGGCTGAACAACCAAAACTAAACGTCCGATCAACGTCGAAATCTGACCAAAACTAGAAAGGACGTAAAACAACCTTATTTCAACGTTGAAAACTGTTCGATATCGGTACGTTGAATGTTTAGCCATCTACCAGCACGGAACTATTGATATCACACAAACATTGAATGAACTACATATACAGGGGTTGGACAAAATAATTGGAACACTACACTTATTAGTACCTTTTCTTTAAAATCTTCCTCTGTCCAAAATATTCATCAGAGTTTCATTATATTGGTATACATACATAATTAATATATGTTGTTTTTACTATTACAGGTATATTGCACAATATATTCTAGATTTATTTAAAAATTATGTAAGATGCGTGGCTTAACTGATTTCGAAAAAGGGCAAATTGTTGGTGCTCGCATGAAAGGAGCTTCGATCACCGAAGTCGCTGATGTTTTCAGTTTTTCGAGAGCTACTATATCAAGGATGGTTACGCAATTCGAAAAACGGGAAAACATCTAATAATCGCACTAAATGTGGTCGACGATCAAAGCTATCGGATAGCGATCGAAGAACATTAAACCGCATTATGAAAAAAATAGGCGATCTCGGCTACAACGGTGCGTGCAGAGTTAAATCAGCATCTCAGCAACGAAGTTTCTGCCAAAACCGTTCGTCGTGAGCTTCATAAGGGAGGATACCATGGAAGAGCTGCTATCAGGAAACCTCTACTTTCTTCTGGAAACATTCAGAAGCGGATGCTGTGGTGCAAGGACCACAAAACCTGGTCTCCAGACCAGTGGCGGCGATTAATATTTTCAGACGAGAGTCCTCCTCCTACGAGTCAGACGAATCCTCAGACGAGTCCCTCAATATTCTCAGACAAGCCAGACGAGTCCTCCTCCTGTCTGGATGAACTGGAGAAGGTTTTGATGGAAGAGTGGCTGAAAATTCCAATAGAACAAGTCAAGAAGCTGTACGATTTGATTCCCAGACGTATTGAAGCAGTATTGAAGGCTATAAAGGGGGTCAAACTCCGTATTAAATTAAGTTTCTCTAAATTTATCAGGTGTTCCTATTATATTGTCCAACCCCTGTACATATTAATGTACGATTAATGATCAGAGAATGCATTTCAATTTTCAAGGAGTCGAACAATTCTTTAGCTTATTTCCAGTGCTCATGCACGCGAGATCCCGTGGTCAAGGTTGCTAAGGCGTCGCGCGGTCTCCACGATCCCGGGTTCGAATCCCGCTACGGACGAAAAACAGGTTGGTTCTTTAACGTTGATTTAACTAGAGAATTTGACGTTGCAGCAATGTCGTAGTAGCAACATCGATTCAACGTTGCGTTGTAACGTCGGTACAACGTTTCATGAAAGATGTTGCTTCAATTTTCATTCTAAACCTCTCTTCACCCCGATCTCTATGTCGTAATAGGTAGTTGATTCAATGTTGATTCAACCACTGAATGCCTGCTGGGTGGTAACCTGCCCGATAAAGGGTTTAGGCTAGTATGTGGAGCAATGTATGAAAAGAATTCGAGGTTAGTATAAAATAGTAAATTTATTTTTTATTTTGTATTGTACTGACAAAATACGTTATTGTTACCAGCAGAGTCAAGACATTAAATGCATATCGTACCGAGAAATTCAACTGCATCAGAAAAGCCATCACCAAAATTGTGCAGCCCAATTTACAATATTTCACAGTTATACAACGTGCTTGGATCTTTCTTCGAAGGTCAATAAACATATACTATGTACACTTTAAATAGAGAATCCTTTTAAATATATTCTGTTCAGGTAAGAGGACAAGTGCTCACCAGCAATACTATCAGATGCATGGATAACAATTGAAATTTGACCGTTTTTATATAAGTAGCATATATATGATCGTACGGCCAGACTCAACAAACCAATGATTAGAGGTTAAGCAGATAAAAAATTTTTATTAAAGGTGGTTACAGCTTCTGCAGTGTAAAAACAAGTCACCGCGTAACAGGGCCTGGATTAGCAAATTAAAATTCGACTTCAAGCAAAATTCAATATTTGCATGGAAATAAAAATTATAAAAATAAATAAATGACTGCATTTTTATCGTTTTTTTACTTACAGTTTGAATATATTTTGTACACCATTTCAACCTATAATTATAAGGACATAACTGCAACAGTGCTCTCGTTATTTAAATCAAATTAAATGGGAACATGTATTATCAAAGAACAGAGCCTGCACCACGTCTATAACACGACAGCTTTCAAGTTACTTACGTGGTAGATGATGTAGTTCAGGAGTT